TGTAATAATCCAACCCTGTTAAGAAAAAAATCTGACAACTTTCCATCTAATTTAACACAAGATTTAACATGAGAGTACATAGACCTTACAACTTTTAATAGCTTTCCTCTTATACCAAGTTTTGATAGCTTATTCCATAAATTTATTCTATTTACCATATCAAATGCTTTACGAAAATCGACAAAGCAACAATACAATCTTTTCTTATTAATAAATGATTTGGATATAATAGAATGTAAACAAATTATAGCACTACTGTACTAAGACCAGGTCTAAACCCAAATTGAGCATCAGTTATTACATCAGGTTTCTGACCATTTTAAAAGTCTATTGTTTAAAACAGAAGTGAATATTTTTCCCAAACAACTTACTATACTAATACCTCTAAAATTGTTAGGGTCAGGTAGGTCACCCTGTTTATGTACCGGTGTAATTACAGCAACTGCCCAATCAGCAGGATAGAGACCAGAGTCCAATATATTGTTAAAAAGTTTACACAAAATAGGTAATAAAATATCCCTCCATACCAACAAACTTTCATTTAAGAAACAATATATACCATGGGATTTTCCCTTCTTTAAATTACTGATTGCTTTGCAAATTTCATCAATAATAATTACGTGGTCCAATTCTTCATATAATGGTACTTCATCTGAATGATTGTAAGATTGATCAGGTTCTTGATAAGAGTTATCGTTCCTGGCCAAATTTTTGAAATGCTCAAATAAAAGTTTCAATTCAATATCTGGTTTCTTGGACTTAGTTGCAGTTAATTTTCTGTAAAATTCCTTAGGATTGTTGAATCTCATATAATAATAATAAATAATATTAAATAATATATTCAAGCATGTCGCCTTCACACTTTAAGTACATTCTTGTTTTCATAGATTCTTTTAATTTATAGTTCCTTTTCTTCTCCACAAGCAGAGTATGATTAAATACATTCCATCTTATACATTATACCTTAAAGTCAATTATGTTACGTAATGAGATTAATTGGTTTTACCAAGTATGACACTTAAGTCTCGGACAAAGGACAGGCTAATTGCCTTACCTGTTCGGGTACTCACCAGTCAGAATAGAGAGATAAGTGACAGCTGTCGATCAAGTGAACTTTATTGTGTTAATTGTCAATGTATCACTGTTCTACATTTTTGGTAATCAGTTAGGAGCTACATTGTAGGATCGGACTGTACGGGTGTGTTTTTGGATACTCCAGAAATCACCACCGACCAAGAGAAAGTTATTTTATTAAATCTAAATTTGGACTACAATTCAACATCTTTGAATTGTATATTCGAACTACACATTACAACGAACAGAAAGTTTCGTTGTGGTAGTATTGTTAAATTTCGGTTGATGTGGAGATTGTGGTTTTATTGTAATTCGGTTGATGGTGGAGATTGTGATA